CCATAGTACCTTTAAAAGTCTAATTTTAATCTAATTTTTTAATCTTACTGTTTTCTTGTAATCAGAACCTCAATTGAACAGAAATCTTGTCTTTCCGCTCCATACGGTGTCACATGGATTTAGTAACTGAGTGACTTCTACCCTAAAAATGTTAAATCTGTAAAGGAATAGAGTCTCTACTAAAAAGCACACGTTTATTTTTTTCTATGCTATTAGTTTATACATCAAACAAGGGAAAGTTTGGAGTTAAACTAAATCTGGGCAATACAGGACCTGGTGACATGAGCCAAGGTGTGTGTGTGTGTGTGTGTGTGTGTGTGTGTGTGTGTGTGTGTGTGTGTGTGTGTGTGTGTGTGTGTGTGTGTGTGTGTGTGTGTGTGTGTGTGTGTGTGTGTGTGTGTGTGTGTGTGTGTGTGTGTGTGTGTGTGTGTGTGTGTGTGTGTGTGTGTGTGTGTGTGTGTGTGTGTGTGTGTGTGTGTGTGTGTGTGTGTGAGAGAGAGAGAGAGAGAGAGATTATTTAGAGAATATAAGTTGTAACAGAGGTCAAAATATGCTGGCACTAGGTTTGAAAAATGGTGCCAAATAAGAGGCAGATGATTTAGAATTGAGGACTGAAGAGAACAGAGAATAATCGCTCCAGCCTGCATAAGAAAGATAATCTGGCCAGACAAGCGAGTCTATTTCTAAATCACAATTCTGACAACTCCACCAAATTGCCTGCTTCTAGGCTCCGCTGCCCACAGAGGAGAAATCTCAGTAAAGCACTTCAGCAGTGCACAGATGGGTGAGCATGGGTGGTAACGGGCATCTGCTGCAAACAGACACCACACAGCCCTTCTCCCAGACTAGGCTAAGCGGGCACCCTAAGAAGGAGACAGCACTTATGGCACAGGAGTGGTGGCTGGGGCTGAAGGCCAGTCTGACACTTCCATGGGAGCCTAGAGTTTATGCACATCATGAAAGATCTTCCCCTTCTTTTATTGTAATGTGGCCCAGGGCAGCCAGCCAGATCCTGCGTCCTGTCCCCTGCAGTGGCACCTACTATGGTACCTGAACACAGTAGGTGTTTATAGTTGTTTGTTGAGTCAATCACATATGACAAGCCCTCTTTGACCTGTCCCCAGCTTACCTGTCCACAATTTCTCTTCATGTTTGCTCCATCCAATGTTTTACGATCCTTCCATATTCTACAGAGTCTGTTCTTTTGCTGCTAGCGTCTACCCATAAGAACTGTCTGATTGTCCCAAAACATTTTTTGGGGGGGGGAAAGCCTAGGAGCTGATCATTTTCTTTTGAGGCATTCCTGGAGGGGATGAAGAAAAATTTGCCCTTTTTTCCATGTCAGCTCCATATACTTGCCATCAGAATCAACCAACCTACAAGTGGAGTGTCCACAATCCAGTTTGATCGTCGCCATTACCATTTCACCTTTAAAAGTGTTTATGCACCCATGGTGTGCCTGCGGAGCCGTACGCTTAGTGAGTTAAACAGATAACGTGCTTTGCTCTAGAAGCTTGTAATGCAAGACAAAAAGCTCTGACATTAAGCTGTGACACACTAATAAATGAACCTTAAACATGGATGTTAATTAATTGCGCAAACAAATTTCATGGAGAGCATTTACTGACTTAGGAGAAGGAGCCATTTCCAGACAGATTAGAAGTATCATTTACATATAAGCCAAATCAATGAAATATAAACAGGGACTAAGCCGCTTTGATCCACTAATCATCTTTATCTATTCATTAAGAATATCTCTACAAGACCACTTAGCAGAATAGTTTCTTTATACAACTTGAAAATTAGACAGAATCATTTCAATTCTGTAATTCTGATTTTTTTCTTAAATCAGACTATACCTCATATTGATCCAAATTGGTGAGATTTCTAAGTTTGAATGGAACAAAGGCCTAGATTATAAGTGCTATAAGGACAGGCAGTCTGCCTTGTCTATCGTTGCAAACCTAGTGGCCAGCACAGTGCCTGACACATAGTAGGTGCTCAATAAATATTTCCTGTGTGCCAGGAACTGCTATAGGCACTCAGGATCTTGAGATGTTTCTTGCATATGTGTGCTATGCTTTAGCTCTCAGTATATTGAAATTACCTTGAATTCTTCCATCACCATGGCCTCCGGAAAAGCTTTAGCCTCAAGAAATGCTCAGTGGTCAGCAAAGACACTTTAGGGAGCAGGTGGTGGGGGTGGGGGTCAGGTTGTTGCTGGGAACAGCAGGCAGAGGTGGAAAAGACAGCCTCCAGTCCCCATCCTTGCTGGGTGTCTATCCTTGGGTCTCGTTAGCCTTTCTCTCCCAACCCTGACCCTGAAAGGGAAGTGTGTCCTTTTCCTCTGGATGAAGGCAAGTGGTTCCCTTTTTATTCTGCTGCTGTCACTATGGTCCCACGATGCTCTTGTCTCCAGCCAAACTTTCAAAGGGTCATGTGTATCTAGTGACAGCCCAGTGATGCAACAGAAAAGAAAATGGCTTAAAAGTCTTGACTTCTGGCCCTGATTCTGGAGCCACTGGAAAATCTCTTACCTTCACTGGGCTTCAGTTTTCTTGTTTACTAAATAAGACAGTTGCTCCAAATCAACCCCTAAACTCCTTCCACACCTGCAAAAACCTCCCAGGTTTCCGGAGGGAGATCTTGGTTGGTCGAGGCATGAGAGGTGGTGGTTGGGCTGGTAACAAGGTCCACCCCTTCGGTGCCACCTCAACTGTTGAAGCCTCCTTGCCCTCAACCCCACCCCTAGGAAGCCCCAGTTCAGGTTTAAATGATCCAGTTGCTTCTGGCAGTTCAATCAAGCTTGTCTACTGCAAACGTGCTGATTTATATATACCACCAATTATTTATGTTCTATGCCGTTCTTTGAGATATTAAAATGTAAATTATGCAGTGATAAATTGATGGGGATTTTTCCATATGGGTAAAAAGAGCAGCAGTTCCTAATTATGTAGTGAGATATCAGTGGGGGAGGGAGAAACGAGTCCGGGAAGGCGGGCCTGAGCTGAGGTCAGGACGCTTGGTGCTTTGTGGTGTGGCAGAGCCAAAGCCTGCTGGCACTGTGCGAACCCAACAGTGTGCAGACAGAGGCAGGACTGGACTGGACGTGTGCTTGATAACCACGCGTGACCAGCACGGCACATGTCTGACCATCACAAGTATATGATTACTACTCTCTTCCAGAGAGCGCATCCCCTTGACCATCGCCTTGTCCCCACTTCTGCCCCCTGAGGCTCAGCAGGACAGGAGGGTGGACTTAGCTGCCATGCAGCCACCGGTCATACAGAAGCCACACCTTCTGTCACCTTCTGATGCCCCCGTCCATGACACACTTCCATGGACAAAGGCTCTGACTGCTTTTTGGATTGTAAATGATTAAGAGAGATAATATCTTTAATGAAAAAAAAAAAAGTAAATGTATGATTTGCAAACTGGAGTTTACTAGTGAATAGAATTATTCATTGTAAGGCCTCTTATACCTGGTCACTCCATATGGTACGCAGTGAAATTGAGACTGGCCCAGTGACTTTTGTTCTAAAAACTGTCTTTGTGCAAGTGCTGGGCATCCTGCTGGTGGGGAACACTCTGCTCTTTTGTTCCCTGGCCTTGGTGCCCTGATATCCTTGTCTCAGAACTCCAGGGAGGGGGTTGGGGTGCAGAAGGAGAGGACAGAAGGCCTATAGCTCTGGGCCCAGGCCCACCTGACGAAGGTGCATCCACATGGACCCTTTTAGGAACCCCAGACAGAGCAGTGCTATAGGTGCAGGGGACAGTTTCTGATGTGGTTCATTCAGAGGTGTCCTGAGCGGGGCCCCACTGGGATATATGAGTGCCCCAGGTTGGCTAATAATCTGGTGCCTCTTCAAAGGACTATCATTTCAATATTTGTTCACACTTGTTTAGAAGAGAAGTGGGACATTGCTTAGAGCTTGAGAGCCGAGGAGACTGAACGGCAGCTCGAGGTTCACTTTGTCCAGGGCAGTTCAGCTCTGGCACTAAAGTGCCAAACTCCTCTTAGCAAAACAAAAGCCTGTGCACACTTTTAAAAAGGCCTGCAGTTACTTTACAGTCACTGTCCTTGGAAGGCTGTGGATCAACCATTCCCGATTCCTTCCATGTGTTCCTGTGGGGGTCCCCACCCCTCCTCAGCGGCTTCCGCCACTTGAGTCCCCTCCTGGAGAGGAGTCCTGCTCCACAGTTTCCTCCCTCTACAGTCCTCGTCACTGGGCCCAGGCCACCGCCCTGCTGTCTTAGGTCATACTTAGCCTCTGGGCCTGGGAAAGCCTTCAGCTGAAAACTATCTGCCCCGCCCAACACCATGGAAAATTCCAGGACTGGATGCTTTCCATTAGAATAACCATTGCTCTATTCAACATAATCGGTACATTGAAACATTTGGGGGAAGAGTTTCATGAAGTTAATACCTTCCCAATTGGGTGGTGGGATTGGAGGTGGGGTCCATTGTGTTCCTACATCTCTTTCTAAGTATTTAGAATAATTCAAAATTGCATTTCTTGGCTAGAAAGGCACAACTGAAAAGGCTCCCCAGAAATCCCATCAGTAGTCCGCTTCCAAAGCAGAAGACGTGATTTCTCAGAAGGAGAGAAAACAAAATGTCACCAGGAAATGATGAAGTATCTCCCTGTCTCACTCCTGCACTGTGTCTTCAGTCAGTCTCCTGCCTTTGCCTTTGTCTCTTGTGTCTTTGTGTCTTTTCTTTCAATGGCTACAGTTCTGTCAAACAGTGCAAAGCTGGGGCTGTTTTCTCCCCCAAATCAAATCAGATCGCTCACAGTGTGAATGTCTCAATTTACTACAGAGTAGATGTAACCAAAGGAAATTTTGCAGAACTTCCAAATAAATTTCATTTTATCTCCTTTTCTCCCTGGCACCTTCCTGTTTTCACAAATCGGAGCCCTCATTTGCTTCTTTCCCAAACTTGATCCAAAAGCCCACACACTGAGCGAATGGGAGAGACAGTGGCAGACACAGCCTACCTTTCCCAGGCCTGGGGTGTCCTTCACCTTGTTGACAGCCCTCAGCAGACAGGGTGGGGCCGGGGGTGGGGAGGTCTGCAGAATCCCGCTGAAGCTGGTGGCAAACAGAGGTGGCTCGACGGAGGAGGTAGAAGGTCGATGTTTCTTCTTTTTAGAAGACAGATTCAACTTCTGGGCAGCTCTGGAGGAAAAAAAATGGAGAAAAATGGCAATGAGGGGAAAAAATGATTGTACGATCAGATATGCTAGCGTTCTTGACTTTTTCTCTTAAAGAACTCCCTAGTTCTTATGGAATCTAAATCGTTCCTTCTGTCTGCATTCTTGGTGTCCTGTGTGGTAGCCCCTTACTACGACAGAGTGATCTTAATGAGCTACCCAATCACTTATACAGCAGGAAAAAAAACTATCAAATTGCATGGTTCTGCAATCACGATTTACAAGGAATCATTTGTTATCCACCAACACTCAGCTTAAGCATGAATAAAGCTTGTTATGTTCGGAGATAAACAGCACCTATCAAGTTAATCATTCCATAACTTCTCTGGTCTAAACTCCAGTGTGAGAGACCTTAGGAGCTAATTTAAAAACCTTACAAAATCCAAACCAGTCTGATGAAGAACCACGTGGTGACCCATCCAGGAGTGCTATGTACGTGGCTGCAGAAGAAAAACACAAGCCCCCGTGCAATTGGGAAAATATCAATCCAATTGGTTTTAGAAACACTGCACTGCATCAGAATACAAACTCCAGCCAGGGTGCAGGGTGCGGACTATGAGCTGCTCGTGTGGATAACGGGCTTTTGTGCAGGGTGGTCTTGAAATACAAAATGCAATTCCAAGGCAACTGCAAGTGCACGGAGAGAGGGGGTCAATGCTACAAAGTGGGCTCAGAGGGTCCACACAGGGGAAGGTGGGAGGGGAGGTTGCCGCATCATTAATAACACTGCTGCTCCCATCCCATCTTCTGTCATTCAAGTGCCTGTCACACTGAAAACAAGATCATCTCATCACACACAAGGCCAGGGGCAATGAGAGGGAAAGGCATTTCACAGTATGTAATATACTCATTTCTGGACTAATTCTTGGTGTTTTCCTGCCATACTCTTGTTCTAAGAATTCCAATTTTCTTATCAAATGTTATAAACATTTGAGCTGCAACTAAAAAGACTGCCGCAACTTTAAGCTACAGATCAAAACCGTATAATCCATCCAACGTTCTTACCAATTACATTACAGGTCACGAGAGAGGCAGGTTGGAATGGCAAAGTCAGTCCTATTTCACCACCCCCCTTCTCCCCCCAACTCCATCTCTCTCAATGATCTGGAATAGCTGGTTTTAATTTCGTATCCGTATCATGCTTCTGATACATCCCTTGAGCTGCAAAATTGCCCCTTCTCCCCCCAACTCCATCTCTCTCAATGATCTGGAATAGCTGGTTTTAATTTCGTATCCATATCATGCTTCTGATACATCCCTTGAGCTGCAAAATTGCCAGTGCACAAGTACTGCAAAGGGCATTACCATTTCAAAGCTTAATTTTGCTTAGCTGTAAAACTGAAAATCAGAAATACAGACAATGCAATACATGAGGAATAACAGATCTTGATGTAAAGATACCCCCCAATCCCAAGGCCATGTGCCAGACTTAGGAAACTCATAGTCACCCTATCGTAGAATAAGGAGAAATGAGGGGTGCTGCAGGACCTCCACGATGCTTTCTTTTTCCAATCAGTGAAAAGGAGAAACTAGGAACAATTTTTTCATCGTGTCTTTGCCAGTCTTCCTGACGCTTTCTTTCCAGCATGAAGGGTGACACGGGATTGTTCAGTGACTAGTCTGGGGCTTCTCTTGGCAGGTCTCTTTGAGATTCTCTCCCTAAATGAACAGCGGCTCATCCCAGGGGGTGTGTCAGTCAGTGACACCAGGCATGACATCGCTGCCTTCTGACGCTGGCACCTCCGCTCAGCCATCCCTGGGGGAGAGGAGGATGATCTGCTAGTAACTGAAAGGCGGTGTTCAGTCGTTTCCATTTAGGATTGTTTTGTGCAGTGGGAAAAGGACCAAGTAGCAGCTGTGGTCCCCACGGCCCCAGCAGCTGGGGTTCCCAGGTCAAATGGCAAGACACAGAGCAGAAGCGAGCGATGCTGAAAGGCTGCTTAGAGGAGGCCGTGGCCTGCTGGCTTTTTCCTTTTTCTTGTCTCTGCCACCCATGCCCACGGACTCACCCCACACGCCCTGCAGAGCAGGAAAGCAAGTGTCCCTGACATCAGAGCACTCCAAGACACCACGCCAAGGTCTCCCTCCACTCTCTCTCCTGCAATATCACACTTTCACTCTCTACCGGATCACTCCCATCAGGATACGAACATGTTGCTATTTCCCCCAGGTAAAAAAATAAAACACAGATCCTGATTCTTCTGCCCCAGCCAGCTGTCTATTTCTATTTGGAAAGTGTCATTGGTGCTTCCTTCCTCCCTTTCCTCTCCTGTCTTTTTCTATAATCCCTTCCCGATCAGGCATCTGTCCTGCCCTTTTGAAGCTACTCTTGTCCAGGCTCCCAACAACCACCACAATTGCTAAATGCAACGGTCCTCAGTGCCCATCTTGATCTGTGAGAGCACTGAGTCTATCCTTCCCTCTTGAGAGACTTCTCCAGGCTTCCAGGACACTGCAGTCATTCCTTTCCGGTGTCCTTTGTTGCTTCTTTCTCTTCTGCCCAACCTCTTTATTGTTGGGGATCTCGGGGCTCAGTCCTTAGTCCCCGTCACTTCTACACTCAATCTCTTGGTGTTTTCTTCCAGGATCATGATTTAAATAACCTTATGTTTATGACTCCTCGATTTTTATTTCCAGCTTGGACCTCTCTCTCTCTCTGGAGGTCCTTATTTATTTCTCCACCTAACCCTTCAACAATTCCACGTGGGTATCTAATACACATCTCGAACTTGCCATCTCTAACACTGAAGTCCTGATCTTTGCTGCAAAGCTGTTGTGCACTCAGCCTGCCCTGTTCCAGAAAATGGAAATTGCTTCCTTCCAATGACCCATACATCTTTGGCCCCTCTTCTCCTCTGACATATCTAAACCATCAGCAAGTTTTGTTGGTTCTAACTGCAAAGTAAATCTACAATCCAACCACCTCTCACCACCTTTACTTCTACCATCTTGGTCTGAGTCACTCATCTCCCGTGCAGGGTTTCTGCAAGAGTCTCCTAACTTGTCTCCCTTCCTCTGTACCCATCCCCCTGCAAGCAGTCCATTCTCCACAAAGTAGCCAGAGTAATTCTTTTAAAACTTACGTCTGCTCAAGGCTCCCCATCTCATTCAGAGTAAAAGCCAAACTACTCACAATGGCCTGCAAGGCCTTATGTGACCTGTCCTCCCCCCATCTCTCTCAGACCACCTTCCCTGCTACTCTCTTCTTTAACTATTCTGCTCCAGCCATACCAGCCTCCAAATACTCTTGGAACACCTCTGCCTCAGGGCCTTTGCACAGGCTCTCACCTCAACCTGGAAGGTTCTGCACCAGATAGAGATGGTGCACTCCCTCACTTCCTTTAACTCTTTGCGCAAATGTGACTTTATCAATGAACCTACCCTGCCCATAATGGCAGATGGCTTTTTTCAAAGACGGCTGCACCCCAGTAGCTCCCACATGCTCTTCTTACGACATGACGTTGACACTTTTCCTCTGAGAGGTGGGGTCTGTGTTCCTTCTCTTTGAACCCAAATATTAAAATATGCATAGAAAATAAATATATTAGGAGAATTTCAGAACTCTTTCATAGCCATAGGTTCCATAATAGCATTTTACTTTAATTTTGACATCATTATCACCAGCTGTTTCATCTCTATTTTATATATTCCAATTTCTCAGAGGTCAGCAGCCTCAGGTCTCTTTATATAGCTCTTCAATGACACGCAGATAGGAGAAGGTTAAGGTTTAGAAATCATTCATGTATAATTGTATTATTCAGGTGCATAAAGGAGAGGCAGTCACGAAGGAATTGAAAAAGTAAAGACATTTTGGCTAGAAGGGTATTTTTGTGTAATTAACGCCTCACACATTCTTTTTTTCGAAGGAAGAAAAACAGATGAGTAGGTGGTTTTATAAGATTTCAAATAGCAAAAAAAATTAACCTAAAAAGCTATTACAAGCCATATTTACTTGTCTAGTTCTTACCAAAGACAACATCTTATAATTCTTACAGCTGTTCATCTCAGCATACATCTTTAAATACCCATTAGATTCATTGAATTCTCTGTGCCTTATTTCAAGGAAAAGGACAGTCTCTCTAGTGAGATGAAATTAACATTTACTAATTACTAATTTGAGGGGACATGCGGGCGTCTGCACTTGGCAAGAATTTGAACCTAGTGAGTTCAATTATTCCCTCTGGGTTCTGGCCCTTTCTCTCCATATCCTTTGTCTGTCTGTCTCACACAGAAGACAACTCTCCTAACACATCAATATGATGGTAACAGAATTCAGGAATCAGTTTAGAATTGACAGGACCTTCACATGGGCGGTTACTTGTTCTTAATGGCCAGATTTACCCAGATCTAAAAAAAAAGATAAAAAATAAGTGGGGTATACCTATCTGGTGAATTTAAATGGTTTAATTTGAGGGAGTCTTAGGTCTCAGTTAGATGAGGGTACCTTAGAAAGTTCATGAAAAACAGCATTAAAAGATAACGTGAATCCTTCCATGAACTTTTTGAAGACCCTTCATCATACAGATTAGAATGGGAACTTATGGGGATTTTCTGATTTTTCTTTCTTTTGCATGTATGTGCTAGACTGTATGCCAAGCTACCACCCTGAATTTTCACAATTGTAGGGTATTTAAACGGGAAACCCCTCATTCTAAGTGCATCTCCTGAGAATTAAATTGGGATCTACCATCCTAAATATTGAGGGATTCTAAAATATGGACCTAACAATCTTTTAAGAATTATTGGCTTTACGAAGAATAGAACTTTCCTCAGGGAACAGGCAGAAAAATCAGGCAATACAGTCTTTTTTAAGGACCTCTATCCTTTTTTAAATTCTACGTGCCATGCATGTGTTGCTAACCACATCCGAGGAATATTTCATCCTGTCTAGGGAGTGTTCAAGTGTGGGATGCTCAGAAAGGTGGGTAAAAGATTTATAAAAATTAAGAGGTCACTCCAGCTCTGCTAAATTCAACCCAGATGACTGATGGGTGAAATCTCAACTTAAAAACTGTGAAACCCTCAGAACTGACATACCTGCTACTCAGAAAGGGTCCTGACCCAAGAGGGGGGTGGCAGCTGCAGAATCCCCACCATCAGCACGTAAAGGACGATCCAAGCTGCAATTTGATGTGAGAATGGCTGGAGCTTCCACAGCTTCTGTGCCATTATAGAAATATTTCAATGCTCTGAGGATTAAGACTATCTGATAATGAGCGAGGACATGACAGATCACAGCAGCTCCAGGAAATCCACAGGGTCAATGACACAGGGGAGAAGCTCATAAAACAGTATAAATTGCAGGGATGAGCGACAGGAACCCATGGTCTGAGGCAGAGTTTCTGCAAAGAGTTAAGACATCCACCCACATGTAGCAAACACCAATTTTAAAGTATTCTGGCAACACTATGACGCATGTTAATCATTTTGGAATCTCTCCAAATCAGAAATAAGAGCATCCTCCTTAACCTTTCTTTCTATTTTCTAATTGGTTTTCAGGGAGGTCATTTCCATGTCTCCAGAGATTGAAAAGCCATAAGGATCTTAGGGGTTTTCTGAGTTTTATGTCAATGATCCATGTCATTCAAGCAGAAAGATAATTCTTGATGTGACTTCAAATAAAATGTTTACTGGTAGGAGGGAAAACAGAGCTGACCATCACCTTAGACAACACTGTGTTAAGATACGACAGCCACACACCAGTATAATTTGAAATGGATTGATTTTTGCAAGTTATCACACAATGTTAATTCACAGTGATAATCACTGTGAATTTACCCTTATACGAGATGCTACTTTGCCATGTGGTCTTGTGCTATGTCCTGTCTCCATTACTGCACTGTTAACTCACCGATGGTCAATACCACGTTTTTACTTTCTTCTAGAGCCCCCCAAGACCTGCCCCATAGCCTTGCACCTTGCTGAAGGGACACTGTGTGCTCACTTGTCGCCTCTTAATCAATCCAGCCTTTGGAATTACACCAACATATGCAAAGTCCCAAGATTCAGGAGCCTGGAGTTCTAGATGACACGCAGACCTTGGGATGTTTTGTTTTTCTAAAACATTTTCTATACATCATCACATCCGTCCTTCTCCCAGCTGTGTGAGTCAAGCAGAGAAGGTACGTGTACCACAAGTTATAGATGTTTTTTACAAAATGAAGACTCAGCAGTTACCTGACTTACTTTACCCATAGTCACTGAACTAGTGATTCTTGTATCTGGGACTAGGACTTAAAATTTCTGTCTTCTAGACTTAGGGTTGGTTCCACGCTATCATGATATTAGGCACTTTGATAAATAGAAGCAGTTGATTTATTTTATCTGGGCGAAATAAAACCAAGTGATAATCACTTGTCTCATAATAAAGAGAGAAAAACCCAGTTACATATTTTTGTATGTGACTCAAATCTAATCATATATTAGCATTTACCAATTACTGATATAGTTGCTTAGCAACATACCTGCATATCACGGGGGAAAATGTCTCAGTTGAGTGAGTTAGGTCATGGCCAGAATTAGGATGTAAAAGGCAAATTATATGAAAACAGCCTCCTCATCCCTACAACCTGGAGAACCTGCACGATAATATCAACAACTAATCCCAACGACCACCACCGCAACACAACATGACCATGGTGGTAGAACTTGACATCTTCCACGCCTCAAGCTTCTCCACCAAAACAATCCTGGAAGCTGCTTAGAATGCATCTCATTGCTTTGGGAAACTTAATTAACCAACCAATATTTATTGAATGACAACCATACACAAAAGAACTATGCAATCAACAAGCTATAAATATCACTCTTCCTTTCTGAGTCACCCAGAAGCTGCTCTGTGTTAAAGAGTCTATTCCTAAACTGCACAGACAAGAATCCACATCACCAAATGTTATTGATTATTTATATGGGCTCCATGAAGGCACACGGCAGGTAAACCCACCACACAGCTAAAGAGCTTTACCATCGGGTGGGAGCCAAAAGCTTTTCCTAAACTGTATTATCTGGGCAGCACATCGTTCACTCATGCCTGGAGATATGAAAAGGGTAAAAAGAGGTATTCGAAAACTATACTGCTGATAGATGTTGCTAATCCATTTGTGTCTGCATTTTTTCCTGGTCAGAGCAAGCTTGGGTAAACGAAAATATGAATACAGGCAAAACTAATGGGAGAAAAAGGAGCCTATTCATAAACTAATTTCTTTTTTATAAAAGCAGTTCAAAGCAAAACCTTCTCCTTTGCTTAAAGCCAGGTACCCATCAAAGTGTTTACTGAGCCAAGCTCCTTGTGTGAAATAGACACATTGAGATGCTAAAATAAAGCAGATGTTTAATAAGAGAATTAGCTGTTGGCACGGAAGGCTCAACAGAAGTACAAAGCATGAGTTTGTTGTTTCCTGGCTGTGGAGATTTGGATTTTAGAGACACCAAATACTCTGTCAGTGCCAGAGTCCATGCCTCGCTGAGGGTTTCTGCCTCCAGCTGATAGGGGAGCAGCCTCTGCCTCCGTTTCCCCTAGGAGCTGACGCTGCTGGGCTATCTGATGCTGTGGTTTCCCAGGGCTCAGCTGGGCTGCTGCAGTGCATGTTGGGATTTGCAGTATTTTAAGAATGACCCTTCTCTGTGTCTTCCAGGGGTTCGCTCTCTGAGCTCATTGTATCAGCAGCCGCCCAGTTCCCCACTGTCCCCCAGACTCCGCTCGCCTCTGGCTGCATGCCAGCGGGATACCAGACTCCCTGGTGATCTTATGACTTCCTTTAATATTTCATATGACAGAGACCCTGATGCAGCCACTTTACTAATGGCCAAGATGTCATCTGCAGGAGATGGGTTTCAGGACCCAAGAGAAGGTTGGGAACTTATGTTCTCATCCAGAACTTGACAAGTTCGTGCCACTCTCTATGGGCAGCCGAAGGGTGTGTCAGCTTCCTTATGACACTTTTCTATATGTCCAGCAAACCCCGTAAGTCAGACCCAAATACTGCCCAGACAACAAGTTCCAGGTCAAGGTACTAAAAACAAAAGTTTTATTTCTGAGACCAAATGACCTCAGAAAGGCGGCAATTTCGTTCAAGTCTCAGCAATCGTTCAGATTTTTAAGAGAGAGCACCCACTTTTTTGAGGACATTGGAGGCTGGAATAAACCAAAACCTATTCATGATTCATGTAGAATAGAAAAGTTTCAGGGAGCATATTACCAATTTATGAACTATTTTTGATGCCATGTGACATACACTTTGGCTGTGACTCCATAGCTTTTAGCTGCTCTATTACCCCTACATTATGATTAATCTCCACTGCGACCTACAAAACTACACTTCCTGCTGTCCTGGAAGGGTAGGCTCCAACCTGCCAGTGCACACTGTATAAACTTCATCAGGGAGCAGAACAGCACAAGAAACACAGAAGTCTGGAGGGGCATCTTCAGGGCATTTTGCTTGAAGTGCCCTGGACAAT